GTTATTGACAGAGACGCTGTTCCATCCTGTCTCAGTCGGTAACGTGTAACAGTAAACAAAATGGTTTACACTGGTTTTCATTAGTTTCAGCGGTAGACGACGTTCATGTGAGATCATGCGCAGAGTTTAAAATCCATGATATTGTCTGAAGCGTACATAAAAAGCTTTTGGGGATTGAAAAATGAGTTATGGCGGAACAGTTCATTTCCCGCCTTCGACAAACTCAAGAATATTTCTTGTCTCTGCTGCAACAAACACAAGAATAGTTGGCACTGCTGCAACAAACACAAGAATATTTCTTGCCTCTGCTGCAACAAACACAAGAATATTTCTTGCCTCTGCTGCAACAAACACAAGACACAATACCATATCACAGTTTAACATGAATACCACATTCAGACACAGTATGATGACTCCGAGCGGACCGGTCCTTGTTTTAGCCCCTTAATGTCGAGCGCCAGGCAGGGTATCAACAAGTACCATCTTTTAACGTCTTATGAAGCGCCCAGGTATGAAACCCCGGACCTTCTGTTCTCCGGGCGGACGCTCTACCACTAGACCACGGAGGCGGTCGAGAAATGTAGTGTATGTAAACTCTGTAAAGTTTTGATGATGAAAAATTTGTTTATCTCGCAAAAATTCATATAACTCATGGTAATGAAACATAAATTTTAAAAAAAAATTTATTTGACGTTTACACGATATACGCTTTTCCTTTGGACAAGAGGTCGGTCACATGACCGCGAAATTGACGTTCATAAGTGTATAAACGACACAATTTGACGTTCATATGTTTTTCACGAGACCGTGTTCTTGAAATGACGTAAACACTGACGGACTACTTCCACATTCCTAAGGAAACCCATGGGAGTCCCCTAGCACGAATACATACATAAGCGTTCTTTCTGATCATTTAGAACCATTAATCTTGGTCTCAGCGTTTCAGTATACATTGAGAAATGTAAGATAGCTTGACTGCAAGATTGTTCACGAATGTCCTCGCTACGGACCATCCTAATGAACAAACGAAGAAATGCACATCCAAACTATCGACTCGATCCGTGTCTAGGGCGACAGTGACCGTCTCCAGCAATCTAAGAATTTACCTTAGTGTCTGTTTGACGCATCTTTAATCACTGAACAGAAGGAAACAGTTGTTCTTGGTTGGGTTGGTATAGCTCGTCCAAATACACTCGATTAATATGGAAATGCTCGCCAAAACACACCCGTTGCGCATGTTCTTTTTTTGTGGAAATCTCGTGCGTGTCATGCTGATGTGACGGACCACTACGTTGAACGGGGTAACATGTGGAGTTGATGTTTATTCGTTGTGGGACGAAGACGTCCTTAGAGCTCAGGTCAGGAGATTGCCTGTGCTAATATTAGAATTAACTTCCATTATCCACTTTATAACAGAAAGTGGTCAATTATTCACTTTAGATGAATATATAGACACATTTGATTTTGGGGCGATTTGGTTAGTGTGGCAATGAAGGTTTGTGTTTCTGTCTTCTGTTTCTGTTTAATTAAAATGTCCGACATGATATGTTTGACTTGTTTACTTAACGGGGAATAACGTGCCTCAATCCCATATGGTAGCAGAGCGTGGTTTCAAAAGGTAAGTCAAATTAATTATGTCGTATCTGCAGGAGGGAGGCTCTGTAAAGAGCAATGAGTCTCTGGCCAAAGAAACAGAAGGGTCTCTGTTAAAACTGGAGAATATTTTGAAACTAAAACAACAGAAAGCAAATGTTAAATCAACCTTTACAAAAGCCAAAAACAAGCTGTACAGCTTACTAGAATCTTCTGACCAACCATCTCGAATAGACATACGAGATGGTATAGATAAAGTAAATGAAAGTCTGGTGAAAGCAATCGATGTTATGACACAACTCACACTCGCTTTTGCAAAGAATCAGCAAGGTGAAAATGTCGCTAAAACTGAACGAGAGATTAGTCATCTTGAGGACGAAACTAATGCTGTAGTTGAACAGGCACAATTTCACTTAGATAATAGGTCAGATGTGACTTCCGTGTCAAGTAGGGGACGCAATAGATTGTATAGACCTGAACAGGCTGCGGGAAGTGAGCCATGTATTCAGAAAGACATTGGGCATGATGTTCATAGTATACCACATGAACACACACGTGCTTATAAAGAGTCACACAGTTATGCAATAGGCACTGATCTATGGAAACAACTCAAGCGTGTTTCTATCCCAGTATTTTCTGGTGATGTCAAATGCTATGAAAGTTGGAAAGCTGCATTTCTGACATGCATAGACCAAGCACCAGCAACTGCTGAATACAAGCTATTGCAGCTAAGGCAATCTGGATTTTGCAGAAAATAGTTTAGTTGTGGAAAAGGAGGATACTCAGGTAGGTTCTCAAACAAAAGGTCATGACCAGGGCTTTTCTGAAAGAGCACATGCAACTATGCCATTGGAATTTGACCATCCGTTCACAGCACTTCGGACAGTCCCAGTAGTGCTGAAGAATGGAACTAAAAGGATCCGTGTTAACGCATTATTGGATGATGCAAGTACCAGGTCATACATAAATGCTGATGTAGCTTCAGAATTAGGGATGCAGGGGTCAATAGAGAAAATATCTGTGAGTGTCTTGAACGGTAAGAAAGAGACATTTGAGACCAAGCCAGTGGTATTTGGAATTGAGAGTGAAGATGGTAGGGTGGATATGGAAATGACAGCACTGACTACTACTAGGGTCACAGGCGACTTGCAAGTGATTGATTGGCAAAAATGTAGACACAGATGGAGTCACTTGAAGAACATAAGCTTTCCACATATTGGGCGACGTCCAATTATCGATCTCCTGATAGGTATTGATCATGTGCAATTACATCAGTCATTCGAAGAGGTTTGTGGAGATGTAGGTGATCCTATTGCAAGGAGAACGCCTCTTGGGTGGACATGTAGGTGATCCTATTGCAAGGAGAACGCCTCTTGGGTGGACATGTATAGGCAATGTAAGCAGTCAGGCAACATCCCAAACACACTGTGCATATACATACCACACATACAGCAAAGACAGTGAATTGTGCTCATTGGTGAAGTCATTTTGGGAAATTGAAGAGTTGAAGACTCCTTTCAAACGCCTTATACCAGATGACGAGCAAGCTCTTCACAAAGCACAGGAGACACTAGTGTATATGAATGGCCAATACCAGATTGGTATTCCTTGGAAAAACGTTCCATCATTACCAAATGACTATGCCATGGCATTTCGTAGGCTGCTTAGCACTGAAAAGAAGTTATCCAAAGACCAGGACACGGCACTAGCCTATGACAATATAATCTTGCAGTATGTTGAAAAAGGTTATATCCATAAAGTAGATCATAAGGAATCGAGGGAAGATGTGTGGTATCTTCCTCATTTCCCGATATTGCGCCCAGATAAGACCACAACAAAGGTCCGTATTGTTTTTGACGCTTCGGCAAAGTATCAGGACACATCATTGAATGATGTAATCAGTCCAGGTCCGAAGCTTCATAGTGAGCTCTTTGATGTGCTGATACGGTTCAGGAGAAAACCAGTAGCTCTCATTTGTGATATAGCAGAGATGTTCTTGCAGATCAAAATATCACCGGAAGATAGACCTTACCACAGATTTCTCTGGAGATCTATGAATACAGATATGCCTCCTGAGGTATACGAGTTCAGTCGTCTTGTATTCGGTAACACCTCATCTCCTTTCTTGGCTCAGTATGTTACCCAGGAACATGCTAAGGCACATCTGGTAGATCTGCCTATGGCTGTAGAAACTGTCATAAAATCCACATACATGGATGACAGTATGGACTCGGTAGAGAATGTGGATGAAGGTATAGAACTGTACAACCAATTAACTCGGTTATGGTCCAGTGCTTCAATGCATGCTCGGAAATGGTTGTCCAATTCCCTGAATGTCCTTGATAACATTCCTGAAGAAGATAGGGCTTCTGAAATTGATCTTTGTAAAGGCCATTTACCATCAGTGAAAGCACTTGGGTTAATGTGGGTGGCTGAAAAAGATATGTTCACATTCAAAGTTGGTACATTTCCTGAAGAAGAAACCACTAAAAGAGGTTTTCTCAGGCAAATTGCAAGGCTATTTGATCCTCTTGGATTCATAGGACCATTTATAATCACTGCAAAGATTCTGTTACAAGAAATGTGGTTAACAGGACACGATTGGGATGATGAACTGCCTCAGAACCTGCAACAGAAAATAGAAAAATGGTTAGTACAATGGAAAGAAGTACAAGGTGTTCAGGTACCCAGATGTTTGCGCCTTGATGCTGAGGTTTGTTCAGTCTCGATTCATACCTTTGTTGATGCCTCTCAGGATGCATATGGCACCGTTGATTACGCCGTCTATACTTACATGGACGGAAAGAAGTCCAGCAGGATCGTTGCTGCAAAGAGTCGTGTAGCTCCGTTGAAAGCCTGTAGCATACCACTCCTTGAACTGATGGCAGCTGTACTTGGCCTCAGACTTGTCTCTGAAGTGGTCAAAGTCCTTCAGATTGAGATTGAAACGGTTACCTTCTGGTCAGATAGTAGGAATGTCTTGTGTTGGATAAGAAACAATAGTCGTACTTTCAAACCGTTTGTTGCCAACAGAGTTGGAGAAATACACAGCACTACAAATCCATCTCAATGGCGACACGTACCATCTGCAGAAAATCCTGCAGATCACTTAACAAGAGGTCTGTCTGTTTCATAACTCATACACAATGAGTTATGGTGGTCTGGTCCTACGTTTTTGCTCAGAGATGAAACTGAATGGCCATCTGATAAAGCATTTTACATTGACATGATCAATGAGGATGAAAGAAGAACGAGCAATAAGCAGGTTGCTCTAGTTTCAATACAGAAACCTGACCTTGAGACGTGGAGACTTGACTCCCAGATTCTCCAGCTGGAGAAAATTGACACGTGTGAATGCTTGGATTTTCAGATTTTTGCATAGCTGTTCCATGTCAGATGATTACAAAATGAAAGGTGAACTGACGGTAGAGGAAATAGCAGATTCTGAGCACAGAATCATTGCCGATGCACAGGCGGAAGCATTTGCAATTGAATATGCAACTTTGTTGTCAGGTAAGATGTTGGCTTCCAGTTCCAAACTCCTTACACTTCAGCCACATCTAGATGAAAATGGGGTCATGAGATTGAGTGGACGCTTAGGCGATGCTGAATGTTTGCCACTTGGAGCGCGATTTCCCATAATTCTACCTCGTAGAAGTTGGGTGACAAAGCTCATCATAAAACAGTATCACGAAGATGGTAAACATGTTCTGGGCACAAACCAAACACTGGCTGCAGTGTCATCAAAATACTGGATTATCTCAGCACGAGAAGCAATACGTGAATGGCAGAAAGAATGTGCTCGATGTCATAGGGACAAAGCAAAACCTGCCTATCCAATGATGGCTCCGTTACCAAAAATGAGACTTCGAACATCCTTCCGTGCATTCAGCCAGGCTGCTGTTGACTATGCTGGACCTTTCATAACAGTCCAAGGCAGAGGAAAATCACGTCAGAAACGTTATTTGTGTCTATTCACCTGTTTGACTACAAGAGCTGTTCACCTAGAGATGGCATACAGCTTGGACACCAGCGCATTCCTAAATGCGTTTTACCGAATGGTAAATCGAAGAGGTCTACCACAAGATGTCATATCTGACAATGGAACAAACTTCGTTGGTGCCGTCAAAGAACTCAAGGAACTTCTTCACATGCTGGATCAAGATGCTGTTCGGCGTTCCATGGCCAATCGAGGAGTGAAATGGCACTTCAACCCTCCATACTCGCCGCATTTTGGAGGCGTATTCGAGACGATGATAAAATCGGCTAAGCGTGCTATCTTCGCTATCCTGGGGAATGGGGACGTCACAGATGAGGAATTGGAAACGGGATTCACCGGAGCTGAAGCGCTGATCAACTCGCGCCCTCTGACATATCAGTCGACTCATCCCCAAGATGAGATTCCTCTGACTCCGAATCACTTCCTGCATGGCCAGATTGGAGGAATGTTTGCTCCGGAATCTGTAGACACAACCGATTATCACCCAAGGAAGCGCTGGAGACGTATTCAGGAACTGATGAGGCACTTTTGGAAGCGTTGGATGAAGGAATGGCTCCCAGGTCTGAACCCAAGACGGAAATGGCGAACTCCAAGCAGAGACCTGTGTATCGATGATGTTGTGCTGGTGATATCTCCTGACACTCCACGGGGACAGTGGCCACTTGGTAGAATTGTCAAGACATACCCAGGAAGAGATGGACATGTGCGTGTGGTGGATGTACGGATCGGACAATCAGTGATTACTAGAGCAGCAAACAAGATTTGTCCACTGGAGTGGTCAACTGTGAACTGTAATCCGGAATTGTGACTTCGGATATACCAACTTCGGATATAGTGACTTCGGATATAGTGACTTCGGATATTGTGACTTTGGATAATATGACTTCATCAACTGACGTCGTGAACAGTGACTTTGTGAAACTGAAATGTGTTGTGAACTGTGACTCTTGAACTGTGACATTGTAAAATGTGATAAGGATATTCATGGATATTCAAGGACTAATGGATTGTAATAATTTCAATCATTTTGTAAGTATGGTACAGTTTTATTTCAATTCATTGCAAAAGCTAGAAGTGTTAGTATTGTGATGAAATTGTATTTATTGTGTATTTATTGTGTTGCCAGGAATCTGTCAAGGAGGGGGGTATGAACAGAAGGAAACAGTTGTTCTTGGTTGGGTTGGTATAGCTCGTCCAAATACACTCGATTAATATGGAAATGCTCGCCAAAACACACCCGTTGCGCATGTTCTTTTTTTGTGGAAATCTCGTGCGTGTCATGCTGATGTGACGGACCACTACGTTGAACGGGGTAACATGTGGAGTTGATGTTTATTCGTTGTGGGACGAAGACGTCCTTAGAGCTCAGGTCAGGAGATTGCCTGTGCTAATATTAGAATTAACTTCCATTATCCACTTTATAACAGAAAGTGGTCAATTATTCACTTTAGATGAATATATAGACACATTTGATTTTGGGGCGATTTGGTTAGTGTGGCAATGAAGGTTTGTGTTTCTGTCTTCTGTTTCTGTTTAATTAAAATGTCCGACATGATATGTTTGACTTGTTTACTTAACGGGGAATAACGTGCCTCAATCCCAATCACCTTTCAATGATCGGTCAGTTGATCAATGATGACTAACACATGTTACCGCCACAGGTTCATTAACAACTTCGGAAATCTCTCCCGTCACGTTTATCGTGTCGGCCATGATGACGTCTTGTACTGGATGTAAATGTATTACGACGCGCTGTCATTGTGACTGACTTACTGAGGTAGTTCTTTACAGACCTTTCTCACATAATAATGATAATATTTGAACACATGTGTTGCGTAAGATGATTCTGAAGAGCACGTTGTGCATCTATAGACTCATGTCACCTCTTTTTGAGGAACTATTTTATTCCGCGATATGGTTGTTGTATGGCTGTCAGTGTAAACATGAAGTCACACGTACTAAATAAAATTGTTTTTAAATCTTGGCCTATATCCTTTGAGGTAAGAAATTGTGATAAAAAATGATAAGAATTGACTTTCACTTTGTGTGAGTTCATTGGAGTATAAATCTTCATAGAGTGAGGGCCAAACTGTATGAACGTCGGAACTTGCTTAAAGGTCAATTCTTAAATAGAAAAGGAGGAAGTAATTGCATTGCCTTTACACTAATACAAATCTGGTATTACAAAAAGTAGAGTGGTGGCAATCCGCTCCCTGTGTTTCCCTCCAGAACACAATGGCTTCTATTTTGATGCAACACTTAAGGATGTTCATTGAGTATTATCGACCGAAGATGAACAGGAAGTTGTCCTTCAAGGATGCAGACTCAGGTGTAAGCTCCACGCAGTGTCGTTGTCTGTAGCGTGTCCTGGCAGAGCTGGGTCTCGTGGCTGCTCTCACACGCTGAAACAAGGTACACTCAGGGAATTCTTGAAAATAATAATTATGCTTCAGGTTGTTGAAACAAACGAAATTGCCTGTGACAATAATTATATTGTTGCGAGGCGTTTTTCTTCAAACATATTCTGGGTTAAAGTCTTAAATGAGAAAATAACTGGGTTTGTAGATGTTTCAGAAAATATAACTGATGTTGAGAAACATTTTATATAGCTTTTATCAGCATCACCTTCGTGAGTTTCAATCCTATGTTTTTACACAACGATTTGCTTTATGCTGAGGCTCGGGAACTTGAAAGGTTATTGGGTGATTGTGTGTCATCATGACCCGACCGTTCTTCATTCTATCACTCTCAGTTTTACTTGCCCTGACTTCTTTATTGACAAGGGGGGGCGGTCGGGTAGCCTAGTGGTTAAAGCGTTCGCTCGTCACGCCGAAGACCCGGGTTCGATTCCCGACATGGGTACAATGTGTGAAGCCCATTTCTGGTGTCCCCCGCCGTGATATTGCTTGAATAGTGCTAAAAGCGGCGTAAAACCATACTCACTCACTCACTATTGACAAGGGGGCAGGGGTAGCCCAGTCGTCTAGGCTAAGGTGCCTTGGGCACGCCAGAAACACGCCGCGATATAACTGGAATACTGTTAAAAGCGGCGATAAACCCAACTCACTCACTCACTCACTTTATTGACAAGCCATCATTGGCTGTCATACTTTTAAAATGTCAATACCATTCTCGAATGTCTTCTGAAACAGATTCCATAGGGCGTAAAAGGCCAAACAGATCACTGACAATAAGTGATGACTGCAGGTGTTCTTCCAAAAGCTAAACATGCCCTGCTAAACATGCACCGGCCACTCACACACTATCAAGTAAACACGATAGTGCCAGAGAGTAACGACGTGTCCGGGTCATAGCATCGCTCCTCATGGTAACCTGCGATGTGTCATATTCAGTAAATGTCTTTGATGTTGAAACATTGACTGAAAAGCTCAGTTGTAACAACAATGTGTCTTTCCGTGAAATTTGAATAAAAACTACATGCTCAAATAAAGTACCAAAGCAAGTGAAAAACTAAGTCGATGGTATATTGCTTGACATGAAGGGGAAAATTCACAATTGGAATAGGGGGCACGGGTGGCCCAGTCTTCTAAGGTGCTGCGATTCGCTGTGCAGAGTTGCGTCCCTTGGGCACGCCAGAAACATATGATTGTGGGTTCGAATCCCGGTTCGCCCTGATTATGTTTCTAGGTTTGTCAGCACCAAACCCGTGCTTGTGGGTTTCACCGAAGTGGTAAACGTTTGCGACCTGCATCACTTCGGGCTTTCCTCCCACATTAAGCTGACACGCCGTGATATAACTGGAATACTGTTAAAAGCGGCGTTAAAGCCAACTCACTCACTCACTCACAATTGGAATACGGAACTCATCTCTGTCCTCGTACAGCTTCGCGCCTCCTCCTATACATTATGAGGACGAAGTTCTCTTAAGATTACACAATTACAATCCACTAATATAAATATCTTTTGAATCTGATTCAAGTAAGAAATACTCCCTAAAGCAGAATAGCAGTGTAATAAACCGAGTTGCAATTAGAGGTTGTCATTTGGCAAGCTAAAAACGGTGACATTCTTTGAAGCAACACTTTTCAAGAGCCTGACGCCTTAGATCATCAATGAACAACATACAATGTCGATATATTCATTAATTTACCCAAACTGGACCAAATACCGACATGTTTGCACTGACAAAATGTGAAATGCTTATTAAGTAATTTCATTGGAGTATATCAACATCATCAACCACTTCTGAGTACAGTTCTGAAAGCACACCCACCTGAACCAGGGACCCTTCCCTCTTGAATACTTCAATCACCATGGTAACTGGTATGGGAAGAATCGGTAGGACTGCAATAAACCAGCCGAAGACACGGGCAGATTCGGGGTAGTCATATTCTCCGTACTTAGGCGGCATGTAGGAAGACAACGTCCACCCCAAGGCAGTCTGAAGACATGTTCCATTATTTTATAGACTGCATTCCTCACCAGACGTAAAGACAGACATGTAACAATGCGTCAGATTCAGTTTCAATTAGTAGGATTCAGTTTCAGTTTGTAGGATTCAACTTCAATTAGTAGGATTCAGTTTCAATTAGTAGGATTCAGTTTCAATTAGTAGGATTCAGTTTCAATTAGTAGGATTCAGTTTCAATTTGTAGGATTCAGTTTCAATTAGTAGGATTCAGCTTCAATTTGTAGGATTCAGTTTCAGTTTGTAGGATTCAATTTCAATTAGTAGGATTCAGCTTCAATTAGTAGGATTCGGTTTCAATGTTTGTAGGATTCAGTTTCTATTGGTAGGATTCAGTTTCAGTTTATAGGATTCAATTTCAATTAGTAGAATTCAGTTTCAGTTAGTAGGTTTCAGTTTCAATCAGTAGGATTCAGTTTCAGTTAGTAGGGTTTAGTTTCAATTAGTAGGATTTAGTTTCAATTAGTAGTAACTCGAAGGTTAGCAACGTGGAAAAATAAGTTATGATTATCACCATCATCATCGCCTCATGGGCTTTTACTCGTTTCTCGTTTTTAATTTTTGGCAAGTTTCACATTGTATATATATCTCGAACGCAGGACCACACGTAAATGCAATGAGCCATTCTGTATTAAGATGTAAGCATACATTCAATGAAGAACAACCAATTGAATGATGAGTAAGTTAACGGTGATGCATCTTTTCTTTCATTGATGTTTTGTTTTGTTTGTTTGTTTGTTGTTGTTGTTGTTGTTGTTGTTTGGTTTGGGTTTGTTTGTTGTTTTTTTTTGGGGGGGGGGGCGGTCGGGGAGCCTAGTGGTTAAAGCGTTCGATCGTCACGCCGAAGATCCGGGTTCGATTCCCGACATGGGTACAATGTGTGAAGCCCATTTCTGGTGTCCCCCGCCGTGATATTGCTGGAATAGTGCTAAAAGCGGCGTTAAACCATACTCACTCACTCACTCATTGATGTTTGTAAACTGAACCTCAACAAGCCACCTACAGTTAACAGCAATGGAAGGATGATGAAGCACACTGTCTTGAAGATTGCAGGCAGGCGCTTTCCGGTCATGGCCTCCACATCAGATGAGAAACGTTCGGCGCCTGTCAACATGAGGACAAAAGGTGCTTACTGGGTATTTATATAAATAGTTTCACTACACATGTATTATCAGAACTAAGGGTGTTTCACCAGTACCGATCGCAAAAAGCCAGGACAGCAAATACATAATACTTCATGGCTGTTGAAGAATTAGACGTTCAGAAACAAAGAACTGTAAGGACATCTAAAGCTTGGAATGAAATTAACGACTTATCTCCACTGTAATTAGAAAATGCCAGCTTCATAATTATACATGATTTAAGAAAGTACACAAAATGGCATTGAACTATATTAGTCCAAAGAATAAAATTGAAGCATCTGACGAATTGCATACATGTATTTACATGGAAACGTTATGACTTTGTGGATGAAATTGACCCTGTTAAAAGCGGCGTTAAACCCAACTCACTCACTCACTCACAATTGGAATACGGAACTCATTTTCAATTTTCAATTTGTAGGGTTCAGTTTCAATTAGTAGGATTCAGTTTCAATTAGTAGTAACTCGAAGGTTAGCAACGTGGAAAAATAAGTTATGATTATCACCATCATTATCGCCTCATGGGCTTTTACTCGTTTCTCGTTTTTAATTTTTGGCCAGTTTTACATTGTATATATATATCTATCTCGAACGCAGGACCACATGTAAATGCAATGAGCCATTCTGTATTAAGATGTAAGCATATATTCAATGAAGAACAACCAATTGAATGATGAAAATGACCCTGGACATTAGCGACAAAGTGGCAAAATAATTACCAGGTCTTTTCAGGTGAAAAACATTACATGATAACACTGACATTTCCAAGCACTGCATGGTTTCAAAAACAGATTGCAATGACAGGCAAACATTCAAGCAATGCCATTTACATGAAGTAACTACAATGTGGCTCATTTCTAGCTTAATATCAAAGTGAGTGAGTATGGTTTTTAGCAATGTCCCAGCAATATTACGACGAGGAACACTAGCAATGGGCTTCACACATTGTCCCAATGTGGGGAATCGAACCCGGGTCTTCGGCGTGACGAGCGAACGCTTTAACCACTAGGCTACCGCCCCTCAGAATGATAAACAGTATATTCAAATAATACTTTATATCATCTCATGATTTGATATTTTGCAAACATTGTGAACTATCAACTATAGCAATATGCCACGTCACTCAAAGAGGGCAACATGTTATTTGACCAAATAGACAAATCGACTCTATATGTTGAAATGTTCAATACCGTAGAACCAGCCAACGATCACACATTCAAGTATGGCAATGACGAAACTGGTCACTGCCCAAGTGTACCAGTCGGTTAACTGATATGCGTAGACTCCTCCCTGGAATAAACATGTACACCCACACACTTATCAAGGCCTTCACACA